TAATTTATCTCAATTCTAGCCAAGTAACTAATTAAATCATTAATCAAGTTAATCAATCAATCATTAATCAATCAATCATTAATCAATCAATCATTAATCAATCAATCATTAATCAATCAATCAATCATTAATCAATCAATCATTAATCAATCAATCATTAATCAATCAATCATTAATCAATCAATCGTAATCAATCAATCCTTAACCAATAAATCAATAATCAATCAATCCTTAATCAATCAATCACTAACCGATCAATCACTAATCAATCATTAAATCAATCATTCAATTCATCAGAGAAGCAACTTTCCTAACTGAACTAATTTTTCGTGACGTGAGTGGAGGTAGCACTGAGTCTCCCAGAGCATGTTGATGAGAGTGATGTTGTCAGAGCAGTCGAGAGGGATAAGATCAGACAGCTGAGGACTGAACCGGAAGAATGGGACGTTGATCATGTTGCACCAGGCTGCCGCCCTACTCACTGACTGGCCGTCTGATTCGGTGGTCTTTTGTTTGATTGATCAATCAATCAATAAATCAATCAATCAATAAATCAATCAATCAATCAATCAATCAACCAATCAATCAATCAATCAATCAATCAATCAATCAATCAATCAATCAATCAATCAATCAATCAATCAATCAATCAATCAATCAATCAATCAATCAATCAATCAATCAATCAATCAATCAATCAATCAATCAATCAATCAATCAATCAATCAATCAATCAATCAATCAATCAACCAATCAATCAATCAATCAATCAATCAAACAAACAAACAACAGAACGAGGACCCAACTAACTTGATTAATCAAAAGCTCTCCGAGATTCTTGGCACCGTAGAAAACTTTTGCGAACTCCATGATGCCCTCGGGTCGGTAGACGTCACACTCCTCGATGAACTTGACGGGTGGACTGCCCGTGCCCACTGAAACCACCACGTGCATTTGCGGAAGACCCTTTGTACTCCCCTGTGTGTAATAATAATAATAACAATAATAATAATAATTACAATAATAATAACAATAATAATCACAATAATAATATAATAATAGTATGAAAAACAGGCGAATAAACAAAATCAGTTCATTGCACAGGTACATATTGACTGCATGCGATTGTAGAAAATATACCTATCCCCCCCCCGATCTACGCGGCACTTGTTTTACACATTTTCGCTTTTACACGGTTTTCCAAATAAGTTTTTTTTTCTTTTTATCGCACTCTACTAAATGCTACTGTGATTGAACACGTGCCTGCTTGGCCCAATATGAAGAAGTTTACAAAAATCTTACAAAAAATTCGAAGCAATTGTTAATAACCGATTTTATTACCCTCTCTTATAATGAAAATATTTCTGCTTCAAACATCGGATCGGCACAAATAACTTCGAGTGATGAAAGTGAATTCGAACCTTCAATTCCGAAAAAAAGAATGGAAGTAATTTCTGACAGTGATGAATGATAATAAAACACCTTTGGTTTTATTTTTTGTTCTTCTGTTTAATGTATTGTATTATAATTAAATAAAAATACAGTGTTTCCGTAATATATTACATATTTTAACCTGTCAATGCATTTTATTTTTATTTCTGTGTACACCTAAAAATATTGAAAAAAATCACAAATAGCAAAATTATGCATTTTCTGCAAGCCTTTCGATTTACCCGGTTTTGACTTGAAAATTTTAATTTTCGATTTATACGTTTTTCTCAGGAACGTATCCATCGTGTAAATCTGGGGATAGGTGTACATGAAATGTAAGAAGCGAGCAGCGAAAAAACTAATTTTCTATTGGCGAGGTTGTATTTGTGGATCTCAGTTAGGACGTCCAGGGTCGGATTGTTGGCCACGATGCCCCCGTCGATGAATCGTCCGCTGGCCCGAAAGTAGGTGGGGGCTGCCCCGGTGGCTCGCACCGCCTCCCAGACTGGCTGGTCTGTTGTCGTGTTAATGTGTGTGTATGTGTGCGTACGTGTGTGCGTGCGTGTGTGTGTGTGCGTGTGTAAAATTTAAAGATGAATGAACCTCCGAATGAATGAATGAGTGAATGAGTGAATGATTGATTGAATGAATGAATGAATGAATGAATGAAAGCAAAAAAATGAACATAGTCCGATTTCCAACTCAGTCGTAAATACTTTTTTATAAAAAATTAAACAAATTATTGGTTTTCCTAGAGGTCACACACACATAGAAACGTAAGCCAGCAAAGTGACCTTTGGGATAGGGCAGGGGTTTGAACTGCTTGAATGGCGAGGGGCAGAAGTCATGCTCCAGTCCAGGAACCTCGTAGTTCTTGAAGATGTGCAACTCAGCTGGCATCCTGTCTGCCAGCACAGTCATCAACATTATCCTAGACGATGATGACGATGAAAGATTGGTAGCTAGGTAATGAATGAATGAATGAATGAATGAATAAATGAATGAAGAAATGAATGAATAAATGAATGAAGAAATGATGAATGAATGAACAATGAATCGATTAATGAATTAATTAACTAATTAAAAATGCATGAATGAACGATGAATGAATGAATGAATGAATGAATGAATGAATGAATGACAAATGAGCCGGATTTCTACAGCGAGAATAAAAAAGAAATATTTGTGAAAGATTATGAAATAGTCGTGAAATTGTTACTACCAAAGCTAAAAATGAAATTTGAAAATGTCATGTTACTTTAATATCAAATGACGTCATAATATTTTAGGCTAAACTTTTCAAATCGGCTTTCAAAAGTTCATCAGCCAATAAAAACGTAGCAGCTGAATCATCCGTAATGAGTAAGAATTGGTTCACCATTCACAGGCAACCAACAAAAACATCCACAAATGACAAACTTGGGTTCCGTGATATCTCCCATCTTACTGAATTGTCCGAATTCTTTTTTGATGAAGTTCTCCAGCGTCTCAGAGCTGTACGGACGTTTGCCTTTGAAGACCTCGTCTTTCAACTTGAAGTAGGCTCCCAATAAGTAGTTCAGTGGCTTGCCTGCATTCAGTTCAACTCAATTACATGTAAAAACGCTGGTAACTTCATTTCTTAAGAAATTTTCCAGCTAACATTAAAATCATAAAAAAAATAGCATTGATAGGTGAAAAACTAAATTGTAAATGCGAATGAAACGAAAAATTAGACTTAATTAAAAAAAAGTCGATATTCATTAAAAGTACATTGGACTTTGGTTCAAAAATAAAAAACCGAGAATAAATGAATAAAAAATAGACGGAACCCAATGAACCCAACGACTTTGCAAATTCATGACCCAGCCAACCAGCTAGCCAGCCAACCAACCAGCAAGCCTAACAGCCGGACAGACTAACGTTGCAAAATTCCAACAGTAAGTATGCCCCCAGTGCTGGTGCCACCTATCCAATCAAAGGTTTCGTGGATGGGTCGTCCCGTGATGTTCTCCACGGATCTCAGGATCAACACGGACACGAGACCTCTGATCCCTCCACCATCCAGACACAGGATCTGAGGGACGGTTGTCATGGTTACGGTGAGTTTCGCTGAGTTTCTAATAGGAGTGTAGCCAGAAATTTGCTTGTGGTGGGCTCGAAAGGTTATCCGTATGGAGAGAGCTGCAATCCCGAACCTCCCCTAAAGTTCCTCTTGGCTACAACTTCAGTTAATATCATATTTGCACAGCACACAATTTGCATAGTTTCAAGAGCGCTTGGGAGATCGATCATCAAATGATAAATTATTGAAAAAACATTTTGGAATCATTTTGATTTACTGAATGTTTAATCAGTTAACCTTTAAACCAACCAACCAACCAGCCATTCAACCAACTAACCAACCAACCAACCAACCGGTCAATCAATCAACCAACAAACCGATCAATCAATCAACCAATCAATCACCCACCCTATCTCCAGGTGTACTGTAAAACTTATCGAAATCTTCCTGTATATCGCCACTCATCGACCTGCAGATTGCTGCATTCAGAGCACAACTCTCACCGTACTCATCAATAACTGTAATATGTCGCAATGTAATGTGATGTAATGTGTGTAACGTAATGTAACTTGATGTGATGTAATGAAATGTGACTTAGATGAAATTCAATGTGAGTAACGTAATATGGTGTGATAAAGATAAAATGTGATGTGTCGAAATGTAGAGCAATGTGAAATGATGCTATGTAATGTAACCGCTAATATGTAGCATAACAAATAATTAATTCCCGATAGAACACTTTTTGTAGTAGTCATAATCATTTAATCCTTCTAATGCAGAGGCAGACGCTTTAACCAACGAGCCATCAAGCCATTCACCATCGTCAGCACAGCATCTTAGTCGTCATCGTCACCAACGTCAATTTCAACATCGACATAAAAAAATTTCAGCAGACGACAAACCAGATGCCGATTTGTTCGGAGTCTTTACTTGCCCCTCGCCATCGTAAGTTCCATCCCTGCTGCATCCGTTCGTGCAGTTCTTCTTCAGTTCGTTGCATCTCACAGCACCGACGCCATGCAAGTAGTGTAGGATCAGTTTTCTTCGAATGTTTTTTTTTGTTGTCTTGTTGGTTTGCGCATTGTATGTGTGCGTGTGTGTGCGTGTGTGTGTGTGTTAGTGTGTGTGTTGTCGTCTTGTTCTTGGTATCGTTGTTCGAATTTTTGAATTCAATTCAGAGACTTTTAAATGACAAACGTGGCTGAGAAATAAAACTTTTAAATTGCGTATTAACTGGAAATCAACGAAAAATTCATGGTGCGAAATGAGCAAATTGAACTCAAAAACATGTCTCACTCATAAGGGCCTCAAACATGAGCCAGGAACTAAGTCACAAAGCAAACCTACTTGTTCGGCTTATTAGACCCAGCAGCTTTGTGTCTCGGCGAGATGTGCTGAGCGTTGCAGAGGTTGACGTCTGCACCGAACACTATCAACATCTGCACTAATTCTGGCTGGTCGGTCTGGTTTGTCGTTCATTCATTTGTTCGTTCACTCAATCAGAAATTTACCCATAAGTTCATTCGTTCATTTGTCTATTCATTTTTCATCCATTTCTAGTTTCTGTAACCAGTAATCCATCTATTATTCATTCGATGATGAGTTTACTCAAAATCTCAGAAACCACCACCCTCCCTCAGAGACCTCACCCTTAGAAACCACCGCCTGACTCAGCCGGCCTCACCTCGACAGCGTAATGTAGGGCCCCATCATCCACGGCATCTCTGGCTCGGGCATCGGCGCCTGCGACCAGCAGAGAGAGACAGGCATCGTAGTTTCCTTCCTCAATCTTAACCAACAGCGGCGTTTGTCCTCGCTTGTTCACCTCCTCCATATTGCAGTTCATCTCTATCAGCGTGTCTATCATCTAGTCGGATGTGTTGTATGAGTTGGTTGGTTGGTTGTGGTTCGCCTACTTGGTTGTGGTATGTTTGGCAGTTGATTGTGGTTTGTTTGGTTGTGGTATGTTTGGCAGTTGGCTGTGGTTTGTTGGTTGGTTGGTTGTTGTTTGTCTACTTGGTTGTAGTTAGTTGGTTAGTTGGCTGTGGTTTGTTGTTTCGTGGTACGTTTGGCTGTTGTAATACGTTTGGAGTAACAAACTTCTTTGGAGGCAGCAACATGCAGGGCGGCATTTCCATCGACATCCTTCAACGTGATGGCGTCAGGGACCCACCTCATCAGCACATTCAACGATCTAGATTGTTTTACTTCATCTTAAGTAACAATTTCGCTTTTTGTTTTCCATTAACAAATTACAAACTTTATTCCGATAATATATGTGACCACAACTTCTTAAGCTTAACAACCAACCAGCCAAAACCAACTAACCAACCAGCCAAAACCAACCAACCGACCAACCAACCAACCATCCAACCAATCATCCAAACAAAATCAAACAACCAGACGACCAACCAATCAACCAACCAACCAACCATCCAACTCTTACTCGATACAATCAGTTTGCAGTATGCAGTGTACAGGGTGCCTGTTTGATTTGGTCAGATGTGCATCTATCTTCCACCTTTGTGCGCATTAAACACATCACTTACTCACTGATACCAATAAATGAATCACTAAGAAGAATGAAAAAAAATACAAGCGAGTCATGCCCTGAAGACGTGATAAATAAATGCAACCTAAGAAGAACTTCGATGTTATCAGGCAGTTTGCTGAGGCAAGCTTCGTGCAGAGCTGATTCTCCAGCCTTGTTCAACTTATTCAACATGCTGACATCTTTCGAGGCCAGCGTCTGCATGTATCATTAGAATAATTTACTGCTTCTTTGTACCTGATCATTTATTTTTATTCTCCAGATAAACAACCACACCAACACTCAATAAACCAAAAACACCCCAAAAGAATCATGACTGACTATCACCAGTTAAAATATTTATATCTTTAACCTAACAAAGCTCATAAACTTTTAGAAATGCTTACAGACTCTCCTCTACAATCGAATATAAACAAACAAACAAACGAATTACAACCGAAATGCACTCCGATCAAACGAATTACAACAAAAATGCACTCCGATCACTCCCAAAAAACAACACCAGAAAATAAATTCACCTGTATAATACTTGAGTCCTGGCATCTGGCGGCGTAATGAAAAATATTACAACCCTCTTTGGTCAGGCAGGTCGTGCTGGCACCTAGAAACAGCAGCTCCTGTATGCACTTGATGTTTTCACACTCTATGGCTACCATCAACGGAGTAACGCCTGTCTCTTCATCCTCCTGGTTTATTGAACTGGCCGGATGGGTTTGTTTGTATATGTTTGTGTTTATTTGTATGTGTGTGTGTGTTAAGTGAGTGTGTGTGAGTGATTGTGTGTGTGTGTGTGTATGTGTGATGG